TTTCTGACCTTTCGGCAAAGATCGATACGATGTTAGCGAGAAGTTATTTTACGCGTGTAAATAATTCTGTAGTACTATACAAGAAATCGTGATATTTTTCGCATTTCGTCCTTGTCAGGACACAGACACCTGCAAAAAAAAAACACACACAAAAGATTTATGGATACCTCGGGATTTTAAATGTATTGACAAGTATATACGCATCATTTGGTCATACCAACCGCGCAAAACGCTATACATAAATCATGTGCGTGTTGGTCGCTATTTCTCAATTTCTAGACGCGTTGCATTCCGCGTACGCTTCATTATGTATTCGGAATCTGATTCATCCGGATTCATTCTCGGGATACCAATCATGTTGAAACACGCGTCTGTCGAACTATAATCGTATTATCCGGATATTCTTCATATAGAACTTCCGAGGGTATACGAAATTTTGTGGTAGGTCCGGTTCTCCCTTGATAGAATCCGCAATTTACGTCCAGCGATAGTTCAAAATTTAGCTCACCGCGATCTCTGGTTGAAAAGCAAAATTGCGATTTAAACGTTTTTTTACGCATTTATATCGATTATGTAACTTAAGGAGCAAAGTCGCGCATATGATTTTGTAGGCCTTTTAGCTCGCGAAGCCCTTGAAGCTCGCTATGCTTGGGCAAGGCTAGGACAAGGTGGAAAAGAGTGGTGCGCACATTGCTGGACAGGCTTGACGGTAATCTACGGGGGCTGCCTGAAACGAGTAGGTGAACTTTTACCCCCTGCTACGAATTACCGTTGCTCTTAGCCTGTACCGCGTCGGGGCATTTAATGCTACGCCCGGTATATAACACCTCCTCTTCGTCCTGCCGGTTCTCCATCCAATTCTCTCTTTTAACCTTCGTGGCAGGAAATACGATAGAAAGGCGCCGATGGCCGGGTGGAGGTGGGACCCTATGGTATTCTTTCGGTCTGTACATACGACGCAGACAAATCCGTAGGATACGTGAGTTTCGAGAGCGACCCACTCGTCTCCATTGCTCTTGGCGCGTTCTATCGCATTTTTCCAATCTGAGTCTACTCCTCGATCGAAATAGTTTTTCTTTATTGTTTGTTACTTTTGTTTCTTCTTCCGTAGCTTTCCTTCCGCATGAAATGCCTTCGATTGCGAAGAATTTCGATTCACGATTATTATTTTTCCGCGAAATCTAGAGTTAGACCTTGGATATTTTACGGAAATGTAATTCTAATCAAATATTTTCTAAAAAAATGATATTTTTAATTTTTTTTTATGTTAGGAACAAGATAAGATAATTTACTCTATTATTTATGATAGAAACGAGATAAGATAATTTATAAAATAAGGTAATTTATTGTGTTATTTATGATAGATAATTCAGGTTTAGCTATCATCTTTTATGTGTACAAATTATTTTATTAATTTCAAAATTAAATTTTTTTAACGTTTATGAACTAATTGTTTTTGTTCTTCGCTGTAAAATATTGTGTACTTCTAAATTTGACATATTTTGTTTCTTTGAAAATTGTCTGAAAATAATTGATATAAAGATGACATTTTTTATATAAAATATA